ATTTGTTATTTCTCAATGAAAGATAGTATAGGAGATATTCTAGGCAGAAAGTAAAGCATGGTACAGTCAGCCCTCTGTATTCACAGTTTCTGCATCAATCAACCTCGAACTGAAAATACCTGGGACAACAAAAAATTCCAGAAGTTCCAAAAACCAAAACATGAATTTTTCATGTGGCAACTATTCACACTGCATTTATACTGCATTTACAATTTACATAGCATTTACATTGTATTGGCTTCCCTGGTGGCTCAGATGGTAAAGAGTCTGCCTGCAGTGCGGGAGACCTGCGTTCAATCCCTGGGTTGGGAAGATCCCCTGGAGAAGGAAGTAGCAACCCACTCCAGTATTCTTGCCTGGAAAATCCTATGGATAGAGGAGCCTGGCAGGCTACAGTCCATGGGGTTGAAAGAGTTGGACACGACTGAGTGACTTCACTCACTTACGTTGTATTAGGTATCACAAGTAATCTAAAGATGATTTAAAGTATATGCAGGATGTGCACAAGTTATATGCAAATACTGCACCATTTTATACAAGAGACTTGAGTAAGCATCTGTGAGTTTTAGCACCCATGGGGTCCTGAAACCAATCTACTAAAAATAATGGGGGACAACCTTATCTCTAATCTTCTAAAGTTTCTACAGCATCTTGAATGCTGTTTTCTTCTTTCCTATTTAAAGATAATAGAATACAGACCTAAAAGATGACCCTGCCCACTTCTATTCAACAGAGATGAGAAAACTGAGTATAAAAAAGCGACTCCAATATAGATAGTTTCAAACACATATACAAAGGTTAAACATCAATTATTTGATCATTCATATAAAAAAGTTTTAAAATAAGCAGCAAATTAAATCCAAAGAAGATAAAAGGAAGGGTATAATAAAATCAGACATTATTGAAATAGAAAAGAAACACACAAAAGAGAGGTTCAACAGTGCCAAAACCTGGTTGCTTAAACAGAACAAAAACACTGATAACTCCCTGGCAAAAGTGACCATGAAAAAAAGAGAGAAGGTAAATAACCAATACTAGGAGTAAAAATGATGATATCGTTACTGGGCCTAAGGACATCAAAATATCATAAAGCAACATTATAAACAAGTTTATGCCAATAACTAGAAGACAAGGAGTAATTCCTAGAAAATAAAATCTATTAAAACTTCTTACAACTATTTAAGACAATGAATTATAAGCAAAAGGCCTATTTACAATGAATGTGATGATTATACAGACTAGGAATAATTACTAAGCATGTTTCTTTGCTTCCTTTTTTGCTTATTGTATTAAGTAAAGTTCAGAATCCACAATCAGAATAAATGGAGCTAGCTCAGCCTAACATATCTTTCTTTAAAAATATTTTAAAGTCCAATATACAGAAAGTTAAAAACTGCCCCACCATTCAAAAGGAATCTCATATAAAGTGACTTCTGTATTTCTGGACATATTTTTAAGAGCACCACTAAACAGTCTGGACTAAACACAGTATGACCAAAATGAAACAGATAAAACAGCACAAATTCTCCTAAGAACGAATAACTGCAATGCTCACTGCATCATTCTTAAAATGTAAAATACAAGTCTTGCTTTGTGACTTGTGGCTCAAAAAGTGGAACTATGATATGTTACAAATCAAAGTTATTTAGGCAAAAACTAGCAAACTAGTTCAACATTTTGATTCTTTTATTATTTTCCCCTAACTTGGTTCATGTAGAAAGAAAAAACTTGTGGAAAGGCTTAAAGGTGAGGGAAACAAGGAGCTAATATTTTAGATTCAGTAGAACATAAAAGATTGAAATAATTACAAATAAGAACAGTATTACAGCGCCTTAAAGATAGGGACTATGTTTCTTATTTCTTTCTATATCTCGAAAACACCTAGTCTTGTAATCTTGACATAGTAAATTAAAAAAAAAGAATATAAGGCATAATTCATACAAAGAAGAACTATGAGAAAATACAAAGATAGGCAAAAAGTTTTCTGAAGCTACGTAAGTGAGGTATAAAAGCTTACGAATTGAGATGACCTACCTAGTCATGCCAAGTTAAAATTATTAAATTAAAATTTACACAAATTTTGTTTAATTTATTCCTAAATGTTTTGTGCTTTATAATAAGTATTTCAGTAATTTTCCTATTGTCCATTGCTTTTATATAAAAATACAACTGAAAGAATTTTCTATGTACATAATCACGCTGTCTCTAAATGAAGACAATTTAAATTCTTCTATTTAAACATATGTGCCATTTATTATTTTTTTTTGCCTTATTGCACTGGCGAGGATCTCTAGCACAATGATGAACAGTGAATATTCTTGCCTTTTCCCCCATCTTGGGTGGAAAGTATTTAGTTGTTGTTGTTGTTTTTTTTAACCAGTAAGTACAAGTTAGTTATAGGTTTTTCATTGATGCCTCTTAACAGGTTGAGGAAGTTTCCAGATATTTGCAATTTGCTGTAACATTTTATCATGAATGAACATTGCATTTTACCAAATTTTTTTTGTTTGTTGGCTTTTTTTCAGCGGGGCAGGGGCAATGACTGAAGTGATCATATGGTTCTTCCTTTATGCAGTAAATAGAGTGAATTACATTATTTGATTTCAAATGTTAAACCAACCTTACATTCCTGGGATTAAAACCCATTTGGTTATGATGCATTATCCTTTTTACATATTGTTGAATTTGATCTGTTAATATTTGTTAAGAATTTTTGTATCTATGCTCACGGAGAATACTTAACTGTAATTCTCTAATATTATACAGGTTTGCTGGTAAAAAAAAAATACTCTGTTCATCTAAGAATGTCTATATTTCTAAAGAATGTTTTGCCAAATATACTAATGTATACTAATGTATACTAACTTTTCATTCTTTTGGCTGTTGAAAAACAACCATTTCACTGAATTGTGGTTATTCATGACAAGTCAGTGGTCATTTTTATGATTTCCCCCATATGTAATATGCCTTATTTATTTATTTAACTATTTTTGCTGGCAGTTTTAAAGATTTCCTCTTTCGATTTTAAACAATTTGATCACAACACACTTTGCTGTGGTTTCCTGCTTATCTTGCTTGAGGTTCACTGAGCTTCCTGGTGACTTAAAGCTTTTCACAAAATTTGGGAAATTTTCCATCATTATATCTTTAAATAATATTCTGCCCTGGTCTTTGTCCCCCATCTTTTCTTTTTTTGAGATTTTAATTGCCCGTATGTGAGACTGCATTTCTAAGGTTGCTATTTCTGTACTGAGAATTCCTAATTATTCCCTCATTATGTTGATTCCCCCTTCACAGGCTTGAACATATTTAAGGCAACTGTTTTATAGTCCTTGTCTGCTAACTCAATCATCTGTCATTTTGGGGTCTATTTCTATTGACCAGTTTTCCTGCTTATTTGCATGTCTAGTAATAGTCTATCAAATGCTTGATATTGTAAACGCTCTGTTGATAAATGTTTGGATTTTGTAGTCTTCTTTCAAAATTCAGTGGTAAGTTTGTTTAGCTAAGCAGCTAATTTATTTCTGAATTGGTTTAATTGTTTCCAAAATATTTCCCCCCAACATCTAACCCTTTCCTTTTTAAAATCATTTTGTATGAGGAAAACTTACAAAATAGTGTTAAAATAACAAACATCCTTGCTTTTTTTCAAGAGTTATTTTTAAACTTATTAAGGGGGAAATAGAATAGCTTTTACTCTAGGGACAGATTTATCCTACTTCTAAAGCACAGATTTCACAGGATACATCTTTGAACCCCAGGAGTAAGTTTAATGAAGACTCTCAACCATGTGGGAGCTCTGGTTATTGTTCAGCTCACCAGTCTCTAGTGATTGCTCCTTTACCAGTGTCTGTGAGTCATGTGGCGCTAGTGGTAAAGAATCTGCCTGCCAGTGAAGGAGACATAAGAGACTCAGGTTTGACCCCTGATTCGGGAAGATCCCCTGGAGGAGGGCATGGCAACCCACGCCAGTATTGTTGCCTAGAGAATCCCATGGGCAGAGGAGCCTGGGGGGCTACAGTCCATGGGGTCACAAAGACTCAGACACAACAGAAGTGACTTAGCATGCACACGTGCACTGTGGTAGGACCAATGTGGTACCAGTGACTGCATCACAACCAGAGGTGTAAATGCCAAGAGGCAGTTTTTGACCATCGCTCAGCTTTAGTCTGGCACTCTTCTCTTTCTGCTTTGGTCCACTAACTTTACCTTCTTTTCTCCTACATTTTCCTCTGAAAAACACATCATTATTTAGTAAAAGGACTCAAAACAAAAACCAATTCTTGTAACTCAATCCAGGGTTATTTCCACTACACAATATTTTTTTTAATCTCCTGGGATTAAAAACAGTAACAATTCAATCTAGTTTTAATTTGCTTATTACTTGGTATACTCCTGAATTTTTTTCTCTCTCTTTTGGTAGATCTGCTGCATATTTTTTATTTTAGAAAGATTAAGAACAGGTTCATTGATAAAGCTAAAAACAATTCATGTTGAGAAAATCTGTTTGATTAAAAGCTATCCCTGGACCAGCAAACCACACAAAACTAAATAATCCATAAAGTGTTTTCCGAGAAGGCAAGAGTAATGATTTACTTCTTCATATTTTTGAGTTCCTTATCTCACACCTGAGATTCACATAGTTCACTATTTCTCCTTGTGAGCTATGTTAACTTCCTGTTAGAGAAGGAGCTTAGTCTCTACACTCTTTCCTTCTAATTTAAGAGCCTTTATGATGATGAAAACTACTCCCTGAATGCAATGTTCATCACTTTGTCCACAAAATATCTATTAATTCATGTTTATAAAGCATTAGTCACTTCAAAAATAAATTTTGCATGGTTTTATTACCTTTTAAGGAGAGGAGAGATAAGGGCAGAAGGAAAAGAAATAAACTGGAATATTAAAAATGGGCCTTAAGAAAGTATTTTAAAATTGTATTAGGAGCAAAATAAATGATTAGACCAGATCTTAAGAGGCTGTGGGTTTTATCCTCTTACCTGTGCAGCTGGATATATTCTCGGGGTCTGTTGAGCAGGTGAAGGAATCTATCAACAATCTTGTTTTTTCCTACACCCTGTAATTACACAGAAAGCATTAAACAAAAAAGGAACTTGTCTGGAGGTAAAACAAACCAGAATAATCTCCTACCGATAATCTGTCCTAGTTTATTGCTAATGCAAACCAAACTAGTAAACACATACAGCACATCTTTTATGACATAGTTTTTTTTAACTGACTTCTAAATACACTAGCTCTAAGTTCTTCTTATTTAAAAGGAAATTCAAAATTATTTTTAGTCTTCTGCAACTTGTTTTTTATTTTCTGCTCTTTCATTTTACACTGAGGTGTAAATATTAGAGCCAGAGTATTTCAGATTTAAAGAATGGCAGCAAAGGAAATCAAGGAAGAGTAAAAACAAAGATTTCTAATCCACTCTTCAGAATTGTGATTTTTAGTTATATAAAGATAAATACAATACTGTGCTTCTTTAGCTTTAATTAAACACTGCTTTCTTCTCCTTTTATCCTACTTTCTAGTCCTTTAAGACCTTGGAAACCTGAAATTATAATCAGGGTTTATTAATAAGTCTCAACTATACCTTCTCTTCCTAGAAATGCCCTCATTTTCTCACAATTTACTGACGCCAAGGTTGCTGTCCTCTCACAGAGGACAGGCTGTTAAAAATGGAATCCACTCACATGCTACTGCTCCATTTCAAAGTTTTCACTTAGAGGTGGGCCGCTCTATTAATGGGATGTAAAACTTCTAAAAAGTGGGTTGTGCGGGAAGAGTAGAAGTGGTTTAAAAAGCTGAGTTTATAACATACGCTGTAGCAATAAAAATACCTTTATTGATTTCTTACACTGTCCACCGCCAAACATGGCACAAAGCTATATAGACTTTAAATGGCATGCTGCAATAAATACAAAATTTTAAATAAACACGTTCAGACAAACAAATTGTGTATTAATTACATCAGCTCTGTTCAATTCAAGAAACATAGGGAAAAACAAATATTATAAGTGCATTGTACTGTCAGAAACACAAAAGGGTTTCTTAAAAGAACAAGTCATGAAAAACCACTGTGGGGAGCTCATGCTCCCTCCCCACTTCCAAGAGGACAGATTCCTCCTTGCTGTTTCACATTCCTCTTGAGCAATTTTAGGAGCTTGCTGTTGTTGTGCTGTGTTAGTCACTCAGTCGTGACTGACTCTTTGTGACCCCAAGGACTGTACCTCCTCTGTCCATGGGACTTCCCAGGCAAGAATACAGGAGTGAGTTGCCATCACACGCCCTATAAATGTAGGATGCAATGTGAAGTCCCTGACTGCCACTAACAGGGTCCTTTGCTATCTCTTCTTTCAATGTGTTAAAAAAGAAAGAAAATTCAACTGAGTAAATTTTAAAAGTCTTATTGACCTTATTCAATGATTCATGAATCTAGCAGACAGACAGGAGAAGCACAAAAGAAGAGATGTTCATAAGCAGAAAGGAGCAGGACAAGGAAGTTCTACTAGCAAAACTGTCACAGCAGGTTGTGACAACGTCACTATCCTAAGGGGTCTCTTGGGCCAGTGACCTCATCACGGCTGACCAGGTGATCCTCATTTACTGGTTTAAGACTCCATTTCTGGGAGAGGCTGAAACTATAATCAAGCTAACCCTGGGTTTTGTGGTTAGAGTTTAACGTACGGGACTCCATCTGGGGCTGGTATGTGCTACTTTGAAGACATTTTAGAGTCTTCCCGACTCCAGCCTCATCTGTCTACTGGCTCCATATGCTCTCTCTGGGACCCTCACCCACTCCCTTCACTTCAGCCGTCTCACATAGCTCGCACGTCTCTCCTAAGCCCCAGCTGAGATGAGATCTACTGTTCCGAATTATCAACTGGGCTTCTATACCAGATGTTCATACTGAACTCATCATGCTTCCACCAAAACCTACCCTCCTTTCTTTTTAACCCACTCTGAACAGTATGGCCTCGTAGCCAGTTGGTCAATGAATGAGTCTCAGAATGTTTTTGACTACTGCATTTTTTCCCTGCTCTCATTCAAAACGTTACTAGAATCTCTGTAGTTTCAATTTGCAAAACTTTTGCCTTCCTTCCTTTCTCCCTCCCTCCCTCCTTCTCTTCTCTTCTTCCTTTTCATTTCCTTTCGCTCCTTTCTGCTCCACTTCTCCCTTTCCTCCCTCCCTTCCTTCCTTCCATATCTCCTTTGTCTAATTTATCAACCTTTTCAGCACCTAATGTTCTAGGTATTGTACTAGCTGAGTGGGATACAATGATAAATAAAATAACTACAACCCCTGACCACACTCATAGCTTACAACCCAGTAGGAAACAGACAATGAAACAAAACACAGCAAGACCCCTACATACAAACTTTCAGGTTGCAAACATTCAGAGGTGCACATGTGCGTTTGCATGTCCGCTGACATAAATGAGCTCAGATGTCTGGTGCACACTGCTGTGTGCATGCATCCTCTGTAAGTGTACTGTGCTGCAGTGTACTTAACTGTAAAGGGTACAGTCTCTATTTCAAGCCCAGGGGGTCCAAAAGCACAAAGGCAGCAGTACACAGCTGACTGTGACCGTTGGGTACCAAGGCTAACTTTGCTGTGTGTGCGTGCTAAGTCCTCCCACCGTGTCCGACTCCTTGTGACCCTATGGACTGTAGCCCTCCAGGTTCCTCTGTCCGTGGGATTCTCCAGGCAAGAACACTAGAGTGGGGTGCCATGCCCTCCTCCAGGGGACCTTCCCGACCCACGGATAGAACCCATGTCTCCTGCAGCTCCTGCCCCGCAGGCAGATTCTTTACTCCTGAGCCACCAGGGAAGGCCTCAGCTTCGCTGTACGTACAAATAAATTGGACTTACGAACGAGCTCTCTCAGAACAGAGCTCATTTGTATGTAGAGAACTTACTGAAGATGTACATGTGATGTGTTCCGCTATGGAACATCCAAAGGTCCTGAAGATTTAACCAAAGGCTCAGGAAGTCCCACTATGCAGTGATATTTCAGTTGAATTACCACGGATTAAAGAGGTTATGGGAAGGAGGAGAAAGAGGAGTGTTCCAGGTAGAGAGTACAGTCTGTGTAAAGACTTGGGGTACTAGAGAGCTGGAGCTCTGGGTGGGTCCAAGTGAAGTGAAGGAGCAGGAGTGAGGAAGGAAATAATAAGCAACAAGCCTAGAGCAGAGGGCAGGGTCTAGCTCTGGCAGTCCTGGAAGCCAGGGGAAAGAGTTTGATCTGTTTCCGAATAGCACCAAAAGGCCACTGAAGTAGAGGGGTAACAGGATCAGATTTTCACTTTTGGAAAATCATTCTGGTGAAATGACAGGACAGAGAACAAGACTGAAAGCAAAGGAAAGCCATTTGGAAACTTCTTAACAAACTCAGGCCGGAGATGGTGGTGGCTTCAAGTAAGGAGCTGAGAGGGTTGACCATACTTAAGAGACAGTTAATTAGGGGAAAGGACTTACAAGATCTGAGGATGAACTGGATGTGAGGTGAGAGAAATCAACCTTTCTGTCTTGGGCAACAAGGTGGAAAGTGATGCTACTTAAAGACACACGAGACTGGGAGGAGGGGGCCTCTGCTGGGTAGGGAGGGAAGACTAGTATTAAAAAAGGCAGTTTAACTTTGGAAAGGTTGACTCTTCAGTGCCTGCTTCGCACACCTGCTCCTGCCTCTCCAGCTCACTGTCACTGCTCCAGGGCAGCCCATCGCTGTGCTCAGACTCCTAGAAAGGGTCCTCTTGGGCCTCCCGCCTCCAGATTTACAACTGGCCAGTCTACCATTTGTTTAGTTACTTTTCTTAAACAGAGATCTCATCAGGTCATTTCTGGCTTCATTTTAAAAGCTCCAATAATTCCTTCGAGGAAATGCTAAAACCATAACCCAGGAAAGAATTTCTGTAAATATCCTGAGCAAAATGAGACAGTTACAGCGATCTGTTCTTTCCAATCACAGTTTTCGCCTAGAACAAAAAAAATCCTGAGGATTACTTTAATTGAATAAATACATAAACAGCATCTTATTTTTCCATTACAAAAGCCACACATACTCATTTTTCTCAACGAGAAGTTTAGAAAACAAAAAAACTACCCAATGTGCAATTGTCAAAATAAATCTGCTACCATTTTCATTTTGTTCCTGTGGATATTTATCTTTACTTACTAATCATTATCCTGTATATACAATGTGTATCCTTTAATAAAAATTGGCACAAAATAAATAGCTTTTACCTCACACTTGACTCTTCTGGAAGATAATATTTAGTCAGGAAGATCCCCTGGAGGGGAAAATGGCAATCCGTTTCAGTATTTTTGCCTAGGAAAGCCCACTGACGGAGGAGCCTGGCAGGCTACGGTCCGTGGGGTCCCAAGAGTCAGACCCGACTAAACAATGAACAATAACAACAAAAGGGAATGAAAAATTTAAAAAGAAGAAGGAACCTATGGAATGAGAGATGATCAAATAACTATGAATTGTCTCAAAAGGATGACGCTTTCTTTTATCATTACTCTTTTGTCTCATCATGTTCTCTGTGACAAGGTACTAGAAAGAAGGACCTTTACAGAGCTAGGAGTTGGACGGCTCTTTGACTACAGGGTTAGGAGAAGGAATGATTCTGTTAAGCCCCTAAGGACAGGAGGAAAACATACTTTAATTTATTAAATCTTTTAAAATAAAATAAATCTTTTAAAATAAAATAAATCTTTTAAAATAAAATTTGAGGAAAGAACAGAAGAAAAGGAAAGGGGAGTCATACAGTTTGCTCTTGCTGAAGGAGGTAGAAACCTCTTCCAGCAACATTCTGCTCCCTGTGGGCCAACAAAGAGAAGGAACCTGATGTTTTTCGAGTCTTCTGCTGCATGCCTGCCTGTCCTTCCGGTGCTTCACCACCCACACCCTCACACCAGCCATGTCAGTGGGAGGTAACTCTTCTGTCTTGGAGAAAAGCAAACTTAAGTTCAGGGCTTCTGCAGTGGCTCAGCGCTAAAGAATCACCTGCAGTGCAGGAGACAAAGGAGACATGGGTTCGATTCTTGTGTTGGGAAGATCCCCA